TGCTCAAAACGCATGTAGGTAATGATGATATTTAAAATATCAAACACTATAAATCACATTGTTAGTTCATTTTCGAGATCTCACTGATAGTACGTAGTAAATCTGAACGCAAAAAGCATTTTTATTCATGCAATCAACGTGCACCATACATATTCAAAAGCGACTACGTTGGACACATGTTCGTAATATTGATTCACTTGAATCCTTAAATGAACGGATGGAGATAAAGATTGTTAAGTTTATCTTCAACAATACTAAATAGTCGCTTCCTTATTTAAGGTTCTTGGTTCGTGTAGCTTCCGAGCATTGTACACGAAACTCCATATTTAATTCCTCAGCATCGTCACAATAGCATGAGACATTCCTTTTTTTTTTGACAAATTTAATCCGAATGCCAAAGGAAAATGGACTGTACGAAATTAGTACCTCAGAGATGGCGTCGCCATGAAAACCGGTGTGCAAGCCACTCGACCACGGAGGCCGTATATATAAATCTCCTATTTAAGCATAAAAAGTTCTCGACCTAGTAGAACCTTTAAGCCTTTCTGATTAAAAGTCGTAATTTTGCAGATGTGATCTTATCACAAAGTCTTAACTGCATAGAAAGTGTTTAACACATTGATGTTTTACCTTGCGACTAAATACATTGCGTGTCTTCCGCTCGGCATTCTAACGACGACGCCTTACTCCATTATAAACGAGGTAAACCATTCAAACACGTGGCAAAATGAAAACATAAACAAGAATAAAAAATAAAGCCAATTGCTAGTTCTTTTTTTATATAAAAATGTACGTGCGCATTTGACCTTCATCTCATCTGACGGAATTTGACGATGGAGCGTGCACACCTAAATAATGCCTATTCACTTTTGCCTTGAAAACGTCCAAGTCATAACGTTCAGGGAACAAGTCTGCAGACAGGGAATTCCACTCCAAAGCCGTTCGCCATATAAATGTGGAAGCGTAGCGCTTCGTGCGAATCTTTGGAATATCCACAACATTAGGGGTGGAACCCAAGCCTACGTCTAGTCCCCTAGTGACAGAAAGGGGAAGGCGGAATTAAATCGCGTAATTCCATCGCACACTCTCCGTGATATATCCTGTAAAATACCGATGAGCAGGCAACTTCGGCGGTGTTCAAGGCTCTGCAGCTTCGCCTCCACTAATTCCGAGTCACCTATAAGCCTCTTGTCACGGTTGTCAATTGAAAAAAGCCGAACTGAGCAAACTATTTGCTACAACACATATAAGTTGTTATTTTTTATCCGTGAGGCACTGGCTTTTTATTAACTATTTTATTTTATTTGAATTTTTGCGTGTTTTTGTTTCAATTCATTTATTGTGTTGTGTGCGTGCAGCAATACGATAAACGTAATATCTATCTGTCCAAACTATTGCAGGTCACGCATAAAACGCCGTCGCTTTGTGGATAATAAAACTGGACGAAGCGAAGGAAACGACCGACTGTGTGGTATTGAGTTCTTTCGATTAATCCATTATCACCAACAACAAGGGTACATACACCAAGAATTTCACGGTGCATTTTGAGAGCGCGTCTGCTCGACTGAAGATGCATTTTCGTTTTTTTTATGACAACAAATAACGGGACGGACAAGTCGTGTGTCAGGTGGTAAACGACAAGCCTGACCACAACACTTGCAGTGCCACTCAGAACTTTCAACAACAAAGATCCGAGGGGCAGTGATACTGCACCCGTCACCCTAAGACATAAGTTGACAAGTCCCATGTGCCTGTAATTTCGCCAGCATCCTTACCCTTCAGAACCGGAACGCAGTACCAGACGGTAGATAGAACCCACTGGGTAAGAGGAAATGAAACAATGTTTTCGTGTCTAAATCGAGTGTTGACCACCACAATGATCATGTGTTGTTTTTTTTAGGTACACAAACAGAATGTAATCCATGCATGGTAACAAATACAGTTTGTTACATTAATAGACTAGATCACATCCCAAAAACAGTGTACGTCTATCACGATAAAATTTGTCTTAGTAATAGTGTAAAATTACGTTCACCAAATTTAAAACGGGACTCCTGTAAAATTATTGTTTTGAAAATAAGAGTCACGTTTATGATAGTCACGAAATGTTTATGTGTATGATAAAAAAAGAACTAAAATTTTTTATGAATAAAAAATTTTAAAAGAGAACTGATTTTGTATGGTCTGG